GGGGATGGCTCCATCAGTCACTATCTATGGTCAAAAATTATGGAAAATGTAATATTTTCGGATGACTTACGCCTTCATCATGAAAATGCAAGGCACTAACTTCCATCAGTCTATTGATCGGTCATTTTGTCTTTGCGTAGCCTCAGCAAACTGTCACAACGACTTTGATGGAAAGGGAGTTTGCCATAAACCGTAATTATCTACGCCTTTTCCTTTTCCATCAAAATCGCTGCAACGATTGATGAAATTACTTAGTGACAAAATCGCCAACAGATGAAAACAGCAAAATTATCAAAAGACATTACATTTTCAAAATTTTCACGAGTCAGTAAAAAAAGGATTCACTTTATAATGGCATTCTTGATCATAGGTAATGATTATGATGTTATCTCTACGTATACGGTGCGTCGCGCGACTGTTTTGAGAAGAATTTTCAACATACCCTTCTTATACTCCAAGGTGTCGAAAAAACGTAAGACTTTTTTGCAGCAAATTTTATTCTCAACAAAAAATAGTAATGTTTTTTTTAATATAGAGATACTATAAAAAAAAATACCGTAGGATTTAGCAAATATATAAAATCTCCCTATTTCTATCACACAAAATAATATTCTTTTTGTGTTATCATAATAATAATAATGAGGCAATGCCCTCTAGAAAAATAAACTGAAGAAAAATGTTCAATATTTATTTGGTACGGCAATTCAAGTACTGCCCTATTACATGTTTTGTTTGTAATTATCGCTTGAAGTTGTCACTATCGATTCATAAACACAAGTTCATTAACATATTCCCAAATTTGCAACACTTGGGGCTGTCTAGGTCTCCTACTGTGTCCACCGAGAACTGCTTTTCACGACATCAACAAACCTGCGCAGCTCTGATATAAATATCGTTCTGAATCATCAAATACACTCGCGGAGTATCAATACGATCTTAAAGGCGCTCACAGTAAACTAACATCAAATCGATAACTACGTTATTGCTGTAGAAGAGTGCTGATTTCTGTTTGCAAATGCGGTTTGTTTATAAATACGGTTAATCTACACACCACGCGGCACCTGATTTTGATAGTAACTCACATAGTCATACTACCACAAAACATCATACCCTTTCACGTAGGATGAGAGGGATAGAGGGTCTAAATGTCTTATTCAGAGTTTTTCGGAACTTTATATCTTAATAACTCTTGTATATGTATAACTTTAGAATGCCATACAAATATGGTCGGACGAACGAAAGCGGAGCATGTGTATTATGATATTCAAATCCAAAGCTACATCATCTCATACAGAAAGACCATTAAAAGACTAACTCTGTCATTTCAGCGAGAGTAAGTTCGTGCAACTTCGTCAATTAACTCCAAAGTCTCATAATGTTCCAGTCCCGCTAACAGTACAACCGCTGCAGTTTGGTGTGTACTTTAGTGCAGCAATTCACGCAACAATTAACAGATGCCACTGTGGATGTCATTTGATGTTTGTGGCTGCCGCATCATGTTAGCGATGCTATGTCAAAAGCTGAACGATACTGAGGTAACTGTATCACGCGAAGCTTCAAGTACAAAGCTACGGAACTGTGATTTTGCTTCCGTCGAGTTATGATTTTACGTGGGTGTAAAGGGTGACACAAATAGGTACTTTCGGATATAAATTGCGCATGTATCATCTGGACCAGTGATTCCCAAAGTAGTCCATGGGAGAGTCAACGGGAGTCTACGTTGACGTGAAAAAAAAAATAGGAGTTCGCCAATTGGTCATAAGTGGTCCACTCGGTATGACCTACTGTAACTTCTGAAACGTACAGGAAGATACCGAAACTTATCTTCAACCTCAAATATGACCTACATAAAGACCTCAGAAGTCATGTGTATTCCATTTGAAAACTTCCTAACACGGATTTATCGAAAACGACTGATTAAAAGAAAAAACGCAGTGACACTTCAAAAGATTTGTCCAGAAGGGCAACTTTACCCCCTTTCACCCACTGCGCCCCAGGGTCATCCTCTTAAATGACAAGGTGTATCGAGTAATAGCTTGTTTAAAAGGTCATTCAACGTCCTTTATTTTTTTTAAATCCAGCCAAACAATGATGTAGGCGATATTCAAATTCCTGACCGACATTTCCAAAAACGTGTTGTGGGATATCATGGCAGCTTTCGAAGATGCAAATTTTCAGGTTGGGGAGTAAACACAATAGGTTTCAAATGGCTCCATAGAAAAAAGTCTAGTGGAGTCAAATAATGAGATCTAGCAGGCCATTCTATACGCCCTTTTCGCCATATCCATTTATCTGGAAACTCGTCGTCTAGCCATTGCCGAACCGGAAGAACATAGTGAGGAGGAGCGCCAACAGAAAATATATTGCAACCTCATCAAGTAAAGGGTTTCAATTCTCTTCGATCAGGTTTTCGATAGTTTCAGTGATAAGCGGATTGATGCGATGTTCCAACATATTCAAATAAATCTCTCCATTCAAACTTCCATTAATAAACAACGGCCCACTCACTTTGTTTCCTAAATCGCCTGCTCATACATTAATTTTTTGGAGGAACTGTGTATGCCCTTCTACAAAAGCATAAGGATTTTCATTGCTCCAATATCTGCAGTTATGCTTATTAACAAATCCATTTAGATAAAATGTGCACTCATCACTGAAGCAGGTATTCTTTACATGAATGGCATTATCATTAATCGTCATTTGTTCACTAAACTCAACTCGTCTATCGAAATCATCTTTGGTTAACTACTGCAATATTTTCATTTTGAATGGATCAAATTTATGGAGGTTAGTAACTGCGTGTTCAGAGCCTACCTAATGAAATACCAGTTGCAGCAACAATTTTGGGGAATGAAGTATCAGGATTTATTCCAAAATGACCCAAAACTTTAACTTGACGGAATCATCCAAAACTCTCCGATGCGATGATCACGTTATTATTTGCAACAGATCCAGTTTGAGTAAATTTAGTGACAAGGTCCAAAACATAACTATGCGAACTCATCTTTCCGGGATGTCTGGCGTTAAACGTGACGGCAGTTTGCCGAGCACATTGATTTTGGGCACCATAAATTAGAACCATTTCCACTATTTCGGCTAGTACGTAAAGCATTTTGGAAGTAAAATCTGAATCAATACATTAATTTTCAGAATCCCAAGATTGCCACAAAGGTAACTGACAGCAAATTAAATTCTTTCTTTCCATTAGCAACAAACAACTGAACAGGTATAACAATAAATACGGTATAATTCGGGTTGTTATTTGGGGGTTGCCACGATTAATCTTCCGAATTGCTGTTTATGTTGGTAGTTTCCGTTTTAAATTATAAACGAATAATTGTAGATTTGGCAAACCCTAACGGGAAACATTTTGAACACTTATTGAAATAAAAAGTGATATTTTCGTGTTTTTCTTTTTGTTTTTTATCTGAACAAATTCAGATAGAGATTTTTCTAATTTTGTCAAAAACGAATCGACTGATTTTAGAAAGTCAAATGCCAAAATAAAGGACTTCGAAAAACCTTACAAACAATCTATTACTCGATACCCCTTGTCATTTAAAATTTTGAAGGGAATGACCCTGGGGGGCCGAATGTGGAATGGGGTGAAGTAGTTTCGGTTAAAAAGTTGTCCCCCTTGGCAAATCTTTTGACGTGTGTGGGCGTTTTTTCTTTCAATCAATTGTTTTCGATTAATCCGTGGTGGGAAGTTTTCAAATGAAGTAGATTTTCGAGGTCAACATGAATCTGTTGGCAAAAATAATGGTTACTATTTTGATTTATCAAGTTGATCCCCAAATGACATCTGAGGTCACTGTCTATCATTTTGTAACTTTTGTTAGGAATTTTTTTCAGAATAATGCAAGATTTCGGGGTGCTCATGTACTTTCCAGATGTTACAGTAGGTCATAATAACTCCAGTTTTGTGAACACCAACTAAAAAAACAATGCTGACATTTGATATCAAGCACCTCACGCTTTTTTACTTTGATTGAATTTTTTGTTAATATATTAGTTTTTATATTGTTCTTATTTCAAGTCAATTAGTCATACTTGATTGTTGGACTTTCTATTGCACAGTAACAGAAACTCTCATGTACTTGAACATTATTTACTACTTTTTCGATTTTCTATTAAAGCGATTTTTTTGATTTTTAAACTACAAATTATTTTCTGAATTTTTAGTCTCAAAACGACAACAAAAGTTTCCTGTTTTTCTGTTTACGAACTTTTCTTTTTTATATGACGCGTCATCATTTCCCAGATGTTTTTCCCGATTTTTAAATCCAAATGTCTTTACAAATTTCAAAATATTGTTATTTTTTTCAAATTTGCGAATTTTTTCAGAATCCCCAAATCTTCAAATTACTTCCAAATTTTCCATATTTTCCAATTATTTTGCAAATTTTCAAATCATTTTTTCCAAATAACTTAAATTAATTTTTTTACAAATTTTCAAATTCGAATTTTTTCTAAGATTATTGTCCCTTGACCCCTGTGCAAATTTGCAAGTGATTCAGACTTCTTCAAATTTACATCATACAGGTTAAGCTAATAAAAGCGCGTTAAAAATGGCGGTTGCCACCTAAATTTACAAATCTGGTCATTATTTAGGTCATAATTGAGGTATTTGTCAAAATGCTCTTTTGATACGCTAAAACTTTTGTTAAAACCTTATTCTAAAAAAATGCATTATTGCCGAGTATTCGGAGTGTTCAGGTATTTAATAGATACCCTATACCACATATATGATGGTCACTTCATGATATATGGGATCTGGTGACTATTAATATATCAATTTGATATTACAGTAGATTTTATAGGTAGTAATTAAAAAACTAGACCAGCAGGTGAAGAATTTGATCAAAGCAATCAACTGAGACCGCAAGTTACAATTAGACAAATTACTGCTTAGCTGCTTTGGAATAAGTGAATTAATTTTGATGCTATCTTCAAGACATAATCATATAGTGGGATATTCTTTTATAACTGTAACTTACGATTACGTCTAAGTACAGCCATCGGATAAATACCTGAAACAAAAAGTGTTATCAGTAAATTGCCATTAATTTTAGTTCAGCATAAATAGTGTTGTAAGATAAAATCATGGAAAAAATAGCTGCAGCAGTTATAAAAAAAACTTCTGCCAATTTCAATCAGAATGACGTAAACGTGAAGCTCCTGTTATTGAGAATTATATATTTTATTTTGAATCCTCAAGGGGTTCTGGTGAGCAAGTGATAAAGCGAATTCGCAAACCTCGTGAAAACATTTTCATTTTTTCGTACTGGGCGTTTAATTAGAAAGTTTATGGAACATCGGCTTTGTCTACAATAAGAGATGTATACGAAGCCCACGAAGTCGCACATGGCATTCCAGGCATTGACCGATCTCTGACAAAAGTTGTGTGTGTTTCTTTTAAGCTCCTGAATGATTCTTGGTTTATTAATGAACACCTTTTGCTTTAGGTAGCCCCACAAGAAGTAATCGCAAGCCGTTAGGTCTGGCGACCTTGGCGGCCAGTCAATGTCTCCTCGTCTGGAAATAACATGTTGCGGAAACAATCATTGCAAGGAACTTAATGACTCTCTCGTGGTGTGCCAAGTAGCACCATCCTGCTGGAACCATGTTCGATTAATATGTGGAAATCTGATCAAGCGGTGAGTCAAAAACTGGTGTATCATATCGGTATAACGCGCAGAGCTAATGGAAACAGCATTCTCATCTTTATAAAAGTAGGGCCCTATGATTCCCACTGAAGACATCGCACACCATACCCTCACTGTTGGGCTATGTAATGGTTGTTCGTGGAGCTCCTGAGGATTTTCTGAACTCCAATAACGACAATTTTGTTTGTTGGTATAGCCGGATGAATGGAAGTGCGCTTCGTCAGACATCCACAAATTGTGTATATCAGTGCTTGGGCAATTTGAATTTTGCATGGATGAAGATTGAGATCTTTATGCAAAATTCGAAGTAAAGATGTCTTACAAATTCTTAACGCTTGAGCTCGTTTTTGGTTTGAACATTTTGGACTGTATTCCACAGATATTCTTACACGATCGATGTTTCCAGGCGTTCGTACACTGTTCTTTGGTCCTTTATGTTTGACATTGACATCTGAACCTGTTTGTCCAAATTTACGAACCCATTCTTTTATACCGTGAAGCCGAATGAACTGTGCCATGTCGATCAATTTGGAAATAAAGTCGGAACTGTCGCTGAGCGGCAACCACACAGTTATTGTTTTTATAGTACGACTTAATCACAAATGCACGTTGCTCACCAGACCACTGCTCCAACTGTGCATGGTTACGGAATAACAACATTATCAAAACTTCCCGCTCCCGGGAACCACCTTGTATTATATGCGGTACAACAATTTGTGTCTCTGATTTACAATGTGGTATTTGTCTCTATGATGACAGTTGAAGGTCACTTGAGGGTCATATGGAGGACACTTTCAAAATACGCCGAGCACGTGAGCCCAACCAGATGTGACTCAGGTTTAAGTCTTGCATTCGAGTCTACTCACGTGTCTCTAGGGTACTTGGAGTCGTTGAGTCAAAATCAGGGATCTATTTGAAGAACATTTTATGGCCACCCAAGGAGCTTCAGCAAAAAAAACATTCAGTTGATCTTTTATAAACGATATAGTAACTGCTAAGATACAAATATGAAAACACTTAACTTAAGGACCATTTACTTGAAAGCATCTACAAGTTACCTAGTCTTCTATTTTCAAAAAATTAATTTTGACCGCGAAATACAACTTTTACCCAAGACCTATCAAATCAACGTAGCTCAGTCATATTACTTTAAAAAATCCTTGCCTACGTTACAAAAAACAAGTTAGATACTGGTAAAACAATACACGAAATCAAGCACAATCTTCCTTGTAGGCATGATCAAATTCAAACTACCTGTCAGCTCTGCTTTTTTGCCTATCCTAAACAGCCGGCAATGAGGTAAACTAGCATATGCCATGCATCATCAATAAATTAATCCGTTATCAGTACACAATGGATGGTCATAAGTGACTTGGTTAATTTATATCTCTGTATACGCCATGTCGGGTTGCCCTATGCTTGATTACGTGGTTAATTTTGCAGGTCCATCATTACAATATGTACGGATGACCTCAAAAACTTCTATAGGAAGGATTATTGGCATAATAGATTTAGAATTAACAGTGTTTGACAAAAGCGTTGTATGCTGACGCAAGTACTTACAATCCGGGATCTTATGCACTAGAAAAAAGTACATGTGTTTTTGGACAGGGGAAAGCTTTTATAGCCACTCTCAGGCTGAAAAGCTCGACACACCCAAGCACTGTCCAGTAGGCTGCTCAGAGTGTGAGATTATCCAGAAAGTGACATGCTATCGAAAATCTCTCAATATATTCTTTCTTTATACATATACTTATATGTACAAAGTGGCCAACATAAATAACTTCATAGATCCCCTTATCTCAGAAAATTTCTTGGTTTAGATCCAAGTTCCATTTTCGTGTATACATGCTGTCCAATTTTACCAGAGTGAGCATAAACTTTATTTTTTCAAATGAAACATATTCTGCTCCGGCTTTGGCCAAATTCAGTTATCCTAAAAATAGCATATTGGTATGAAAGAAAACATTTATATCAACAAATAATGGTCTAGTTAGCTTAACGTTCCCATATTACTGTATTTTTTCGACTCATAGAATAACCAGGGGTTTACGAAGTACATTTGGAAAAGAAATGAACGTTACGCATGTAACAACAAATATCGGAACAGGCCAATAACTTATGGAAAATACACAAATTATTTTTCAACCTACTGTAGTTTTGAAATCTGAGTATACAAGTTATGTATGTCAAATTGAAGTGAATTTAAATCTATGGAAAATTACAAAATATTTAGGCTGTTCAATTTAAAATAAGTGAGTTTTTTCAAATTTAATTTGTCAAAGTTTGGATGTGCTTAGTACACCTATATATTCGATCAAATCAAAATTGAAAAAAAAAACAGTAAGCTGGGGCACGTTGAGCTCACTAAACCATCATTTGTTGCTATAAATGTTTCCTCTCTTAGAATGTGTCGTTTTGAGGGTAACCAAATTTGTCCAAAAACTAACAAAACTCAATATCAAAACTCAGGAACGGAGAAGAATTCATTTATACATCTAATGATAAAAAATATTCCAAATCAAGTGTGGTACCAGAAAAAGTAATAAAACATAGAGGTTGCGATTTAAAAAAAATAAACTTGATGCTCTCTGGAAAAACTGGACACCAGTAAAAAAAATATTCAAACCAAGAAACTTTTGTTTGTAACATTTTTCCGTATACGAGGTGGTGGTGGTTTCTAAGATAAGGGGATGTATGAAGTTATACTGGCCATGTACGAGTATAAGCCAGCAAGCAGTAACCGATTACTGATTGCTTGGTCTGCTTGCCTGGCAGTTGTAAGCAATGAGCCTCTCGCCGAGCTTCAACTCTAGTTGTTTCTGGCAGTCAACCCATCTACTACACTTGTGTTGATGAGGAGTACCCTCCGCTTCCTTGAAATATACACAATTCATGACTCTCTCTATCCTACACCCTCTTTAGGTAGCTGTCTAAATAACCACGTCCTGTGAGAAACTGTGTAGTATATATCTATTCGCACCACTCTCTAGTCAATTCAGGTTTTAATATCAGGAATCAGAACTGTCGTGTAGTCCAGTGCGCACTCCACCAGCAATGTATCTGATCAAGATCTTTCGTTTTTCACTACTGGGACCTCCCTCAGATGGCATTAGCCGAATCAGAGATGCAATGTCATTATTCACCGTATCACTGGTGTGCCTTATGTGCTCAGTCATTTTGACTTTAACGAGCCACACTCTTAGATATTTAATCGCATTTGTGCCTCGAATCTCGGCATTTCTAATGTAATATAAAAAACTTGACAGGTATAGATACATAACATCCAAATAAAGGTTTGGCGGAGAGTCCTTCTTCCGTGTAACATCTACGACAAGTCAACAATTTCCTGTGCGAAAGCCGCGAGTTGAGTCCAATCCTGTACAATCACAAATTGGTAACTGCCAATTTTTTCATAAACCCTATGCATTCTATTAACATTTGTGATGCATGGTATCTCGGACTAATAATAAATTTAGAATTAACAGAACCTGGTATAAGCGAGGTGCTTTGAAACAACTGTTCATGTGTTGTGAACTGAACTAATTTGGCTATACTCTACTGTGTAATTAATTTACCTTACATTTTGTGCTCACTTATTTGATATCGCAGGAGTCTCTGTTGTTACCTCCAATTATGTATTATTTGTTGTACCGTATACAATAACTATCATTACATCAAAACTACCGCCCCAATGAACTAAAAATATGCAAACATGCGATTGACACAGAAATTCATTCTGCATGTTATGTTCTACCCACCCTTACAAATTAAATTCCCTTTGGTTTATAAAACTTGTACATGATGCCATAATAAGCAGTGTTTCAACTTTTCCGCCTTTGATAGTTTATTATACAGGGTGTTCCTTAGTGATATGCGAGTATTTAAGGATGTGAATCTACATCCAAAATTAATGTTAGTTTGCTCCATAAACTATGTTCCAAAAATGTTTCCTTACAAAAACTCGGGGTGTTAAAGTTTTAGGAAAAATGGTAATTAATTAATATTTTCAAAACCGCTTCAGATATTTCGCTGATATTTAGTAAGTAGTGCAAGTTAATAAAGCTGCATATTTTTGAATGCAAAAATCATTTTTAGCTGTAACAGTGGAGTACGTACGGGTGTTGACTTCGATATTTTTCAAGAAAAAAATGGTACGCCAATAGTTTTTTGCCAAATAAAAATTATTTTTGAATTCCATGTTCAATTTAAAACAAATGATCTCAATTGAATTGTTTTCCTTTGATGCGCCATTTTTATGTAAAAAAATAAAAACCGTTCTATTGTCCGAGAAAATTAGCAATAAATATCTAGTTGCTCTGGAATATGTTACTGGCTTTTGACATCAGATAAGTCTCTGTTAT